CTCCCAAACGAACAAGAGAGAGACAGAGTAGAGAGTGAGCGAATGATGCGTGGGGTTTGGGGTTTGGGGCACGGCATGCCACGGGGCAAGCACGTAATCGCTGTCATTGATGCGACCATTGTTCGATTGCGAAACAATTCCGAAACGAATCCATTTAATTGCCTTTGTTGTCACTCAATGCTGCGCCCGGGGCAGGGCATACTTCAAGGGGAATCCAAGGTAGTTCTGGCTCCTCTTCGGGCTTAACTGTTGCCGCTTAGCAATGGGCGAAAGGTCAGCTAGAAAAATAATTAATTAATGGATTTGCCGCTGGTTTTATGTCAGTCATTACTAGGGAGTATTTAAAGTTGAATGACTGCTGAGCATGGAACTACTCCGAAGGTGTATTCAACAGTCAAAGAAAAGGCTTAAAATTCATGCCAGATTCATGGCATTTCCAACAGGATATCCCTTAGCTATCGTTTGATGGATAAAACCATCAATTATAGCATACCTTTAGGCACTTCTTTCTACGCTTCACTCTCCCTCGAACTGTTGCACACATCCCACAGATAATTAACCCACAACCAACTCTCTATTCTTTGGCAGGCTACACCCGCGAACTGTCACCGCTGCACTACACCGCGTACCTGCCCCGAATGGAGAGCGAGATCACCGTCATCCGTGCTGCGGCCACAGCCCTGGTGGCAGCCGCCAATAGCAGCAGTCCGGCCGCAGATCAGCACCTGGCCTCGTACCAGACACCGCCATCGTCCACCACATCGTCGCCCTCGTGCTCGCCCAGCGGCGCCGGCGATCGGATGGTGGATCGCTACAGTCCGCACATCAAGATGGAAACGGGCCAGACCTCGAGTGAGCGGAAGTGCTTCAGCAGCACGGGTGCCACGCTGTCGCTGCCGCCAAAGAAGAAGGACATCTATCGGCCGTACTCGCTGGACGACAAGCCGACGCAGGGATACCGCAAGCGGATACCCGCCGAGGAGGACCTGCATGCGGCACATGCCATACTGGACCTGAGCGCCTCGACCGCCTTCCACCCGCCCACGCAGCCACACCAGCTGCAGCTGCAGCAGCAGCAACAGCAACAACAACAGCAACAGCAGCAGCAACAGCATCATCAACAGCATCACTTGCCTCTGCAGCAGCAACATGCTCTGGTCCACACCCACACCCACTCTCACTCCCACTCCCACTCCGCATCGTTCGAGGCGCATGCGCATCTACGGAGCACGTCATCGATTGCCGAATTGGCTGCTGCAGCCAGCGCGGTGAACGAACAACGCCCCTCGAGCAACGCCTCGAGTGCCAGCTCCCAGCACGCGATGCCCAGCAGCCCGGCCAGCAGCATCCTCAGCTGCAGCGGCAGCGGCAGCGGCAGTGGCAGCAGCGTGCAGAACGAGAACAGCAACACGACAAACACGAATCAGGAATGCGACGGCGGGTCGGTGGACGGTGAGTCGGGCGGCACGCAGGCGGCCAAGACGGTGGCCTACACCTACGAGGCCTTCTTCGTGAGCGACGGCCGCTCCAAGCGGAAGCATGTGGCAGATCCTGCTGCCGTGGTGGTGCAGGACCAGGCGAAAACCAAATACACCTGCTCCGAGTGCGGCAAGCAGTACGCCACCTCCAGCAACCTGTCGCGCCACAAGCAGACGCACCGCTCCCTGGACTCGCAGTCGGCCAAGAAGTGCCACACTTGCGGCAAGGCGTACGTGTCCATGCCCGCCCTGGCCATGCACGTGCTGACGCACAAGCTCTCGCACAGCTGCGGCGTCTGCGGCAAGCTCTTCTCGCGCCCCTGGCTGCTCCAGGGCCATCTGCGCTCCCACACCGGCGAGAAGCCCTACGGCTGTGCGCACTGCGGCAAGGCCTTTGCGGATCGCTCCAACCTGCGCGCCCACATGCAGACGCACTCCGTCGACAAGAACTTCGAGTGCAAGCGCTGCCACAAGACATTCGCGCTCAAGTCGTACCTCAACAAGCACCTGGAGTCGGCCTGCCTCAAGGACGAGGAGGAGCTGATGATGGCCATGTCGCTGCACGGCCACGGCGGTGACAGCAACAGCGAGAGCGGCGCCAGCATGGCCTCCTCCCCGCCACACGAGTTCCTCGAACGCGTCAAGGTGGAGACCGGATCGGGCTTGGGTGGCAACACCTATGCCATGTAATGCAATGTTGAGTAAGTGGCTCCCGAGCTGCCGTGCTGGTTAGTTAATTTACCGTTAATGTTAAAGTTACCGTTACCATTTACCATTTACAACTAGGCTACAACCGATAGCAGTTTTTATATAGAAGTACGAAATACGATGCATACATCACAATACGTCCAAAAGCAAAGTGTAGTAGAGTAACACAGAGACTGTAGAAAATCGCATTAGACACGTTAGGCAGCAAAAACAAAGCAAAACAAAACAAAAACAAATCAAAGAAACAAACAAACAAACCAACAAACAGCTAAAAGAAAGACACCCAACCCATGCCCATTCCCATTCGCATTCCAATCTGATTCTTCTTAGAAAGCTAAGAAAGAGTTGAAGAACATTCCCAAACAAAACACCAACATTCCATACACACACACACACGACACACACAGAGAGCCTTGTGTATGAGGTATGGCTATGTACCGAATGCATTCCGTAAACCTGAACAAAAAACTAAGCAATTCTATGCCAGAGCGCAGCTATCTCTAATCTATCCAACAACAACAAAAACTACTTAACAAAGCAAAACATATATACATACCGATATATATATACATATATACCTACTATATAGAGTGTACTATATAATCTGTAGCTGATGCAAGAAGCAAACGTTTTTAATCTCCAAAACTCGAACTCTCTCTCTCTCTCTCTCTAACTCTACAACTCTCCAAGACGAAACACTCTCCCCTACCCTAACCCCTAGACCTAACTGTAGATCGATGAAAATATCTCTCTCTATCTCTCTCTCTCTCTCACTCTAACTCTAACTCTAACTCTAAATCTAAATCTAATGCTAAACACTAACTCTAAATCCTTAATCGACAACGTGACGAAGACGAAGTGATTAAAATTAATGCAACGAATTACAAAAGCAAATGCAATGTTTCTCAAACAACGAATTAGGTCTTAAGGGCAGCCTATCTATAAGCAGAATATTACGAGTGGTGGCCCCACTCAATTGGGGGGTCGGGGCCAACCTACCGAACAAACAATTTTAAACTAAGTCACCAAACAAACAAAGAAAAATACTAAGAGCAACTGAACCACGGACAGTAGCCGGACATTTAAGCACTCAAAGATTTTTAGATTCGATATTAACAACGACACAAAAAACAACAACTTACAAAACAAATTAATCCAAAAATTGCATACAAACAAAACAAAAACTAAAACAACTAACGAAACGCAAAGCAATATTAGCCAGGTATTGGAAACGGTTCGGCTGGAGGGTTTTCCGAATGCCGAACCGCTGCCGTCACCCCATCCCTCATATTAAACCCTTGTAGAAAGCATCCATCACGTTAATACACAAACACATATAGGTAACGTCCCCGCCATTAGTTCATTCCGATCTCATTTAAGGCTAGAAGAGCATTGGCAGAGGTGGAAATTTCTGAACTTATTGGGCTGACTTTTCATTCATTTATTCCCCCCCCCCCCCCAAGGATTTCCCCGCTCAACTCATATCCAACGAGCATACATTTTAGTCAATTAGCATTCCAAGACCCAGACCGACACTCGGCAGGAGAAACATGGGAGAAGACAATTATTTATTATAGAAAATACTCACGATAGAAGTGAACATCTAGTCGCTGTACAACAGCAAAAAAAAAACCACAAGAAATCTATCATTTATTGAACGAACCAAAGCCAGTTCCCAGTAAACAATTTCCCAGTGTTTCGAACCCAGTTATACAATTAAAGAACATTGCATTCCGTTAGAGGCCCAATTTAGGAGTAGGACAGCCAGCGAAAAAGACCAAAGAATCGTATCGTAAGAGCGCAGAGCCCCTCTGAATAACAGAATAACAGAATAACGAATATACGAGTATATAAATCGAGTGTGATCTAGTCTCAAGCATTTAACAGTACACTTCGTCCATGCGTGAATAATACTTTGCACTTTTCGACAACTTAACCGACCTAGCACGATGATATTACTTAACCCCTAACTCCAAGTACGTTTCATTCCATTCAATCATTCCATCATTTAATCATTCATTCATACACTCATACCCACAACAAGCTCACAATCCCCACAACAAACACATTCCACACACAAACACACCTAAGGAAAGATAACGCGAATCGCTGCACAAATTCTGTAAATATTAGAACTTACTTCATATACATTATATACATTATACACACACATAAAATACTCAACTGAAATCAGCTTCAGCAACCGATCTCAATGATGAAGTGGAGGGGAGGAACGAACGAAGTGCAACGAACATTTTGTAGCTATAGTTGTAGCCAAGTTTAGAGCGACCCAAAAAAAAAAAAACCAAATAGAAAAGAAACCAAAGTTGTTGGTACACAGAGAGGCAGATGATGATGAATAGAAATCTATATACAGACATCTAGAATACGTATGTAGTTGCGTAATATTTACAAAGCATATACATACATATACACTTATATACATATATAGGGTATAGTATTCAGATATGTACGCGTAAGTTAACCTAGTGCATAATCACGAAATTATTTTTATACTGTTGATTGGAAGAGGAGTAATCAGAAGGAGGAGGAGAGGAGGGAGATGCGAGAGGCGGCAGCGAATCCCCTTTTAAGCAATAATATTAATCGAATCGAATCGAAATCGAAATCGAAATCGGCTAAAGTACCAAAGCAATACTCAAAAAAAACAAACAAACAAACAAACCCCAATGCAAGAAAAGGCAACACAAACTACAATTATTTCAATTAAAAATTACAATTAACTATATTTAATATATGCCTAGTTACATAGGAATAGTCACATATTATTTACCATCTATTATTTCTCGTAATCGACGAATGATGGAAACAATATAATGAATATTTATGAAATTTGCATTATGAGAAATGTTGAATTAAAATTGAATTGAAGTCCGGCAATAATATTAAATTTTAAAAATTTTGTATAACAACTGTATAGAGCGACTAGAAAGCTAGAAAAAAGAGCAAAGAAAAGCAATAACTTAACTTAACAAATGAGAGTTAATCGATTATTAGTATTAGAACGTATACTGTAAGGTTGAAACTATCTACAATTAGCAATCGCAGCACACACACACACACACACACACACACACACATGTACTATAAACGAAAAGGTAAACCCAAAAATACATACAAAAATATATATAAAGTTTAAAAATATACAATATACATATTAAATGCTTACACTTTACATGCAACAACATTGTTTTTCATTTATAAACTTATTCTCAATATGCTTTGCACATATATTTTCTCTCGTTTTTTACGATTCTGGACTCTGTGTGTATTTGTTTCTTGTGCATTTTGTTTATTTCTTCAACAATTATGGTGCTGAGTGATTTTAGATGGAAATACAAAATAAAGCCAGCCGTAAGATGAACCCAAAGCAATTCGAATATTGTGATAGCCCACACACACGCACACCCAAACACACACACACACGAGATTCATTAATTTTGCTCAAAGGATATTGGAAAATAACGAGAAATCAAATTCATATTGAGATCCAGACAACTATACATAGCATAACGTGTATCGAAAAGCAATAAAACGTAGTGGTAAAAGATATACATAAATAGAGTATAATACTTAGGGAAGTGCAAACCAGGAGGGGGGGAGTGGCAGAGGAATATTTTGAGATTTTTAACTAATAGTAAATAGAATTGCCCCCAGCCCAGCCCAGCCCAGGCATATGCATAAACACATACAGAATATATTTCCTTCATTTGGAAAGGCTTTAATCCAAAATTTGGTTATCGAAGTTTGTCCAATCACGCACACACACACACACACACATGTTATGGGTGTTCTCTCCAGGATCATGATGTACTGTTATACAAAAGGAAATTGTTAAAGTTGATACATTTTTAGCATAGTATTTAGCACACACACAAACACAAAATTGTAATCGTAATCGCAATCGGAACGGGAATGAGAACGAGAACGAGAACGCAACCTGGAAATGCAATTGTTGAAATGGTTCAGTATTTGTGGCATTAGGTTCATGATCCATTGTTTCCATTATCTGTTGCTGTTGCTGACAACCCTTCGCCCCCATTCCCACACCCACACACCTACACCCCGTTCCATTCCGCTTCTGCCAGTGCCAGTGCCACAGCAACACAATGTTGTGTTGTCCTTTTTTGTGTCAATGCAGTTTAACGAGCGCTCGTTAGGCGTACTCGAACAAAGGGGAAATGTAATAAAAAGAGGAACAGCTCCATGAATGAGAGAGCACGAGAGAATGGTAATGGGCATAAAGAGAGGGGCAGATGATGCCATGCCAACACTGCACGTGGCGTGGCGTGGCCCACAGAGTCCACAACGCATTCCACACAGAAGAGAAGGGTGGTGCGAGCTAACGTTAGGGTGATGCAGTGAGCACTTGATTCGAAAATTTAATTTGCCTTCCACGTGATTTATTTATTTTCTATACCCACTACACGTACACACACACACTCACACACAACAAGCAATGTATAAATAATTGGGCAACCAAAACAAACAATGATTAACTATTAGCAAAAGCAAAAGCAAAAGCAAAATTAATAAGACTTGGCACGTTAACACTAATAATTCAAGAATTGAACATAAACTAGTAACGAAATTCGAAAGTAAAAGAATTGAGAAATCAAACAACCAAAAGCAGAAACAACGAATAAACAGCAAAAGAACAAAAATGAAAGACTTGACACTTTGAATATATATTATTGTAGTATATATTATGAATCGAAAATGGAGAGCAATATGTGGAGGCAACAAACTTATTTACAGCTATTGTATATGGTATATAATCATAGAGAAGAATTAACGATAAAAAGCAATACAACAGAAACAGAAACAGCAACAAAGGCAAAAGCAAAAGCAGAAGCAAAAGCAACAGCAGAAGCAATAGAGCATTAAGGTAACTCAAAAGTATTAAATCGCATGTATCTATGAGTAAATATTTGGAATTCGTTATATTATTGCGATAAGTAAGCGAAAACCCCAAACATTTATGGCACTATACACTATAGCATAATAAAGAATCGATATATATATATATATTGATATATACCTAGTTTACAGAGAAAACCGAATGGAAAACTGCTAGAGAGCAAACCAAAAAAAAAAAAAAAATGGGAATAAACAAGTACTAAGAATTAATTAAAGGCCGTAGGGATTTTGGATTTAGCTGGCATATGATGAATTGAACGATTTAACGATTATTAGTTATCGATATACAGATACATACATATACATATATATTAACGGTAGAGTTGTTTTTGCATATATTGTTATCGCAACTTTTGTGCTGCTTGACGAGACCAATTGATGTACTTTATACAACGAAAAACGAAAAACGAAAACGAAAACGAAAACCCAAAAAACCGTAAAACTGAAAAACCAAAAAACCAAATGAAAAGGAAAAGGAAAACTCATCTTATGTTTTTGCATAGGTGCATTGTTGCGACTACACTACGGAAATACACACCACACGGCGGATACGATACATAGTCGAAAGAGTTACTGCGTAGAAAATAAATCCTGTATTTTATCCTGTATTTAGAGCACAGACACAGACACAGACACAACTGTAGCATTGTAGAAAAGTAGAGTTGCAAAGAGTATAAAAATTATAATTAAAACGAGACAAAAGCGAGACATAAATTTAAGCTTACGATTAGACTATGACTAAAACAAAACAACAACAAACACAGCACACTAGACGAAGCCAGCAAAAGAATTCTGTACCTAGAACAAGAACAACAGCAGACACGAAACACACACACTCATAATTATGTATTTTATTGCATTGCATCGATTAATAATCGAAGAATATATACATTGAAATATAAAGCTATAAAGCTAAACACCCACAGAGACACAGAGACACAGAGAAGAGCAAAAATGCGTTTATGATATATGGAAGAATACATTCTAAATTATAAATGACATGCATTATGTATATGACATTCATGTGCATCATGCAGACAAACACACACACACACAATCGAAGGTCCTGGCACTATGTCATTTGCCAGGGGCACCTCCGCCCTCGAAAGTCAATTTTACCAAATGGTCAATTTCCAATTACAAGGCAAGCGAATCGTTTCATGTTTTTCAGTAGTTTTTATGCTAAGTTGTTGAAAAATTGAGCAGCTAATTAACCGAACGCAGAGCAACGAGAGATGAACGAGTGGAATTAAGAATTTACCAAAAAACAAAAGTCTTCAGTTTGATTGCGTGGTTTCCATTCAAGTGCGGCAAGTACTCGTTCGACACATAAACACATAGGTATATGCATATAAACACACCTAACATACGATCTATTTTGTACTTAACCAATTGATTTGTATAATCCACACATCCAAACACTCAACACAATTGAAAGACCAGTTGTAAGAGCAGCAGCAGAAATGGCTAGTCAATGCATAGTTACTAAAGCAAATGAAAGAAGGGCAAAGAACATACACACAACAATGGAGCCAAGCATTCTGTAAAACATAAAACATAAAACATCTAACATTAAAACGTACATAAGTATATTATATTTTCATAACACATGACAAATTTATACATGACAAGAAAAACCAAAAAAAAAAAAGAAAAGATGGAAGAAAACGAACGGAGTAAAACCAAATGAAAAGTGCGAGGATGCAAAACAACTTGCGTAGTAAATGAAAAAACAAACATAGTGAATAAAAAAAATAAAAATCTGACAAAAAAAAAACTTAAACCAAAGTGCGTTTGATTTCAATTGGAGGGACGCAGGAAGTGGGACTACTGACAGCTGCAGACAAACTCTGTGGATTCCTCCATTCAATGCAATTCCGTTTGTGCGAATCAACGGAACGGAAACTCAGTATTTTCCCCGGGAAAAAGTAATTGGAGTTACACTTCCACTTCCACTTCCACTTCCACGTAACTGCAGGCAGTCGATGGGTTGGGGTTTTAGTTCCCTTTTTTTTAACATTTAACCAGCTCTTGCCTCCATTGACAATCAACTGAAAGCGGCAATCGCTGAAGCTGCAGCAAAGATTATGGCAAATATTACAGCAGATATTCCAGCGACAACTGCCTTCAAATTGCTATTCGATTGTTTAAGGTCTCACAGTTTGCGTACACAATCATTTCTCAACAATAACTACAAGCAATGTCTGAAGGAGCTGCTCAAATCAAAGTTAAATTCAACTTTGAGTACACTTTGAGCCGTGGAAAAGCACTCCCCGGGGGAAATGTGACACGTTGGAGGTTAAATACATGTGCCAGAGAAGAACCCCTTCTGGGGCAAGCTGTTGTTCCATGCCCAACTGTGGCTGTGCCAAAAACAAGAGAGTAAACAATTTTCAAACATAAACAGCCTCATGGATGATATCCCCAGCATCCCAAACTCCCCACTGCCTCTGCCAGTGCCTCTGCTGTTGTTGTTTGTTGCGCATATTTTCACATATCATAAGTTTTTATGCTTATTAAAAGCCAAAAGGAAAAAAAATTGAGCATAATTTATATGATTTGCCTATGGGGCAATAACAAAGCAGTGGAGAAAAAATTCTGTTTATAGGCCGATCAATGGCACGAGGGCGAGGCCTGGATTTGGGCTAGGGCCCGGGTTGGGCCGCGTCGAATCTGATGGTTTTAGTAGATTGTCCTCAGACGATGGCATATTTATACGGCTTAGAGATTGCCCAGTAGCACACATACGCAGCGCGAGTCGAGATAGTTTTCGCCCCCTAGTGGCACAGTCAGTGTGGGAGTAGGCTGGTGGGAGGGTGGAGCAGCCCTTCGGGGCGATTCCATCATAGGCGGATGACGGCGACAACGAAATCAAAATAGCACCCCCCGCGACCCGCCAAAACAGGGCAACAGGGTTTGGCTCGGACAGGGGAGACTGGGGACTGGGGACTGGGGACTGGTGACTGGTGACTGGGGGAAATGGCAGAAGGAATACTATGCCAGAGCTGAGTCGCGGCAGCGTTATCCAGCAAAACAATCAACAGCGCGCTTTTTAAGCCATGCCAGATATATTTTCTAATGCTTTTTTTCTGTAACTTTCCACATTCACCCTTGTTCTTCACGCTTCGAGCGCTTTATGGGAGTCCTGGTGGTCGTCCGACGCGCCACTCCGCCTCCCGCTCCATGACGGGGCGGCTCTCAATTGGGGGTCTCCTTGAATGGGTTCGTTCGTTGGTTCGTTCGGGCAATGACAATGGGATTGGGTTTTCAGCCTGGATTCTTTCCTTTCCTTTTCCTTTTCCTTCTCTTTTTTTGTTGCTGTTTTTTTTGTTTGTTGCTGCTGTCATGTGTCGGACTGTGAGCCTCCAGATGTATCTGTATCTACAAGTGTACGTCGAGCCGTTGTTGCGCGTCGCGTGAATTGTTGGCTTGTTTACTATGCCCTTCAAATTATGCACTATCTCCCAGTATCTCCCAGCAGGGGGGTGGAGTCCGGGTGCTGGAATGTTGAGAATTTTGTGGGGGCGAGTGAAGATTGCATTAAGATAAATTTAACTGAATCAATTTGCTTAATAGCCAATTGAAGAGCAGCAAAAACAAAAAGAGAAGCACCAAAAAAATAACCCAACAACAGGCTAAATGAGCAGAAAGGAAAGGGAAAGGGAAAGGGAGAGGAGCGAGTGGGACATGGGCCAGCCGGCAGATACTAGAGGAAGCGATAGAGAGCGAGCGACTGGCAGCAGGGAAACAAAGTGAGTGTCTCCAGTTTTAGTGTCATTTATTTTAACGTTGATTTCTTCCTATCCATTTGTTCACATTGCATACTCCCGCAGCTCCATTCGGGGGCTTCACCCTCACACTTTTGGTAATGAAACGTCGTCCAGCTGGCTTACTGCTCGCTCTCTGGGAAAGAAAAAAGGAAAGGCAGAAGAACCAGCCAAAAGAGAAGCCAACGAAAATTTATAAATCTCGAAAGTGACGCTGAAATTACATAAGCCCCGGGAGGTTATATAAGCTCAAAGGAGTCCATGTCCCTCCCTGGCAGTCTTCTCATTCTTTTGCTCTGGTCAATTTCAATTTAGCGGCGTACCCTCTCCATCCATTCCATCGAGTCATATGTATGGACAATTGCAGGTCCTAACCCCATTAAAAAGCCATGACGGGGGCCACACACACACACACACACACACACAGAGGGAGAGGGAGAGTGCAAGCAAGGCAAATGCCTGGCATTTAGAAACGGATGTTCCGATTCGCATTTCGCAACGCAATGATAAACTTCGGGCTGGTTCCGGGCACCCCCGCAACACACCACCTGACCGGCAGTGTGAAGGTGGAAGAACTGGCGCCAAATATCACACGAAAAATACCCTTGACGGCAGATAAAAGACTTGGTCTAATGGAATTTGTTAACTTGGAACGTACCAAAGGGTTCCAAATGATGATAATTAGCTAGAAGTGCCATCAATTAAAGGGGAGTTCAACCCCAATGGACACTTTTGTAAAGATTAAGTGAGAGATTTAAATCACTTTCAGTGGCAGAGAAGGAATGCTCTGCTTCTTCGCTGGATCTTTCCCATCTCTTATGCTGGCAAAAACTATCGTTACCCACCCCCAAGCGCTGCTCATCTCTAACAGATAGATATCGCTCGGTGGTGCTGTCTGAATTCTCGTTATTTAGCGGCTGCCACGCATGCCACGAGCGTGCTAGAAATGGGTAGGGATTGGGGATTGGGGATTGGATTGGACTGGTCTCTCCTCTACCCGCAGAAACTGATTTGCATGACAGCAAAAGGTGCGTAGGCGTTCCACAGTTCCACGTTCGGAAGTGGAGCTGAAAGTGCGGCTTATCGGCAGTGTGGCATCAACATATTCCTACTTGGACTGGCGCTACCTTCTGCTGCTTCTTCATCGCATTGAAGGTAATTGCTACGAAGCGCCCATTTTTCGCACGGATCGCTTACGCACATATCCATAAAAATGGACACACAGCCAGGCAGCAGAGAGTTAGAGATGGAGATGGAGATAGGAAGTGGACGCCATGCCGCCTCGGGGCAGGGCCTGTGTGAGAATGGAGCGTTGAACGTTTAACGTTTTTCGACCTCTGCAACTAATTACAGGTGGGAGCACCCGATTTTAATTATCGCCCTTCGCGCTCACTCAGCTGTTGCCTGTACGGGTCTGTCAGTCAGTTAGTCAGTTAGTCAGTGGGTTGTCCCGGTCCCATCTCGTCCTGTTCCGTGCATAGGCACGCCCTGAGCGACAGTTACAAACAGCCAAGCGGTGATGGGCGATGTGCGATGGGCGATGGGAGATGGCGGCAATCGATTGATTGTGGCCAAACACGCAGCACACACTGGAGTTGGACAGGATAAATCAAGCCCCTGACATTTTTCCCTGCCTTCTGCTGGCGTGCGTGAGTTTCGTTAATGCACAAAAACGGAACACAAACAGAGGAGCCACAGTCAGAGCCAGCACAGGCAACAGGGCCCCCAATCATACAAATACATATGCGAGATAGAGAGAGAGAGAGAGAGAGTAGATCTATGGTATAAAAGCCGATATCCAATTCCCGAAACTCGAACGACGCGTAATGGACTGAAATCCAATACAGAAATATGCATGACACAGGAGTGGGTGTGGGAGAGATATGTTTGGGGCATTGAGCGACAGACAGACACAGTCTCCCACACAGATGTCAGGGAAATATGCGCCGTTTAGTCACAACTGTCAGTTTTCAATTGATTTGTCGAGGCAGTGGCAGTGGCAGTGGCAGTGGCAGGAGAAAGGAGAAAGGCTCTCAGAGCCTCGGTGGCATACAGTGGGGTTGGGGATGGCACCGAAGTTCACTTCCAACAAAGCCAACAAAGCAAATGTGAAAACATTAAAGCCAGTTTTTGGCCATGCTAAGAGCGGAGATACTCGTACATACACATGTACATACTACATACATTTGTACATACATTTGTACATACATTTGTACATACATTTGTACATACATTCAGACATAGAAAGAGCTCCATGTGTCGCGGACATCTTCCTTTGATGGCAAAACAACTTATTTGAATCCAATATGCAGTGAAAGTTGGGTGGAAAGTTATTTAGTTGTTTTTCTAAGACAAGCTGGGAAATACTTAAATCTAAATAATATTTGTGTCTCAGAAATTGTTGCCCAAACAGCACAAAATGTAGCCATATAATTTTTATGGATATTTCTTAGCAAGAAGTAAATTCTGGTTGTATTTTCGGTAACATTCTTCCCGCTTGTAGAATGCCTTCCCCATTAAACTTTATTCACTTGGTGGCCACTGCCCTTAGGCATCCAATATTCAGGAATTATGTCCAGCGATAGTTGGTTTCTTTCTTAGCCCAGTTTGGCTGGCAGTTTCTATTTCAGTTGGCCCATGCGCTGTTCCGGTTGGCCGCCAAAACGCCAAAAACTTCAACTTTCGGCCAGTCATGGAGCGGAGCGCAGTCAATTCTTGTATCGTCATTGTTAACATCATCAATTTGTGTGCTTAATATGGAAACTGACGCACAACAATAGCAGGCAGTAGAAGAACAAGGCTGGCTGGCTGCCTGCCTGGAGGTAGAAACAGGATCGAGCAAGCAGGACTAGAAGCCCGGAGCTGGAATTGGACAGGACCAGGCCAGCCATATAAATTGAGTTGCTGCAGCAATAAAGCATCTCGAATTGTTTATTACATTTTTGCCACACTTGACGAGCGCAAGAGGCAGGAGCTGGGACCTACATATATGGAACACCAGGCGATAAATACGAAAAGTCATAAT